AGGATAGGAAATTACCGATATTTCGTTACGCGACTTTCTCGAATGTCTAAAAACGTTCCCGTTGCTTTTTTTGATTTCTTTTCATTCAGATTAAACACCATTTTGAATTAATGAGAATATTGTGATTGATAGTCGATATCAACTCAAGTGCTCTTATTAGCCAAAAAAAGAGTGATAATTAGTATCTCTCACTAGGAGAATTGGTTGTGTACATACAGCACATAGCTTTTTACGTTATGTCGTCAAATGCGTTACGTTCAAATTTTATAATTTGAGCCAAATAATGACAACCGCTTTATTAACCAAGATCTCTAACGAGATTAAGATTATTACGCAAAAATATAATACATCATTTCTTCATTCTACATTTAATGACGATAAGGATCAGAATGAGTTTATTAAGCGTTTTGTTGACAGTTGTATATATCTCTTGTGAAGAATACAATCGGAAATGAATGAAATGAACTTTATGGCTCTTTGTTATTTATTCTGAAAATGACTTTGTTTACATTTAGTGTAGAACACAACCGTCGGTATTTTCATTCATTATTATCTGACTTTGTATCTATTTTTGGATTTGAAATGCAAACTCTGCAATATGCATCCATACAAATCGAAAAACGTCTTCATTATATTTCTAATTCTTCATTTCACCTTTCCATTGAATTCTGTACTCCACACTTTTATCTCACTTAAAACTAAAAATACTTTGCGTGGCCTGTTCTTGAATATTAACAGCTCTTAAGAAGTTCCTATTACCGTCCTTATTTCGGAGGTGTGGCGTAGTGATGCCTGATGTATATTACGACTGTTGTATTGAATGATTAAAAGCACTTGAAATATCAAATTATCGCATTAATGAAATTAATATAAATTCGAAATTATATGTAAGAAAAACTTATTTTATAACCTTTACTAATGCAACGGTTATCAAGTTCGGCTAGATCGACTAATATCAAGTTCGTATTTTTTTTTTTGGCTTCCGGTGATTGGTGAAGCTGATTAAACTAGTAGATTTTTTTGTGAATCTTATCAAATATGCAACTTTTTAAAACTGGTTAAAATGCCACCTATTTATAATACCAAATTATTGTCAATTTCCATTTAGAAAGATTCAATAAATAAACCAATGAAAAAAAAATTAAAAAACATATCATATAATATTACCACACTGATTACTTATTATCGATCCTTCGCGCTTTTCTTATTACGATTTTTTGTGTGGACAGAAAAGTTCAAATCTGCCAGAGTGCAAAAGTAGGTTGCATTCTTCGAAGTATGAAAATGGTTCATGAAAGAAGAAAATCTTCAGAGTGTAGAGTTTTTGAGATATGGGATACGAAATACGAAAAATCAGCTAAAAACAAGTCAACCTAATTTTGAGGGAAATAAGGTTTTCCGCAAAATTACTTAAAATCTTCGCAAAAAATCAAATTTGAATCCCTACAACTTCTGAAACATTAAGATTTTAAGTTATATTCTGCAAAGGATATTTAATGGACTAACCGTTTTTCAGATATTGAGGTTTCTTTTAAAGTATATTTGGTACTTCGCAACACCCTGCATTTCGGCAGGGTGTTGCCGAAATGGACTCTGAAAATGGACTCTTTCTTTGGTGGTATACGATTTTGTCATGATAGAGTGGAGAAAACAAGAAAACCAAAGATTGAAGTTTACTAATCGTCATATTTTAATAACAATGTTTATAATAGGAGGGTGGACTAAGGTGACTCATGCCATTGACCGAAAAAACGATATTCTCGAAGTTTTGGAAGAATAGTTTTTGGAATAGTACAAAAAACCGACATTTTCAATTCAAGGTCATTTTATATCGTTGTTACTTATTTTAACAATTAACAATTATATTCATTCGGTATATAATTAATATATCTTTTTAGTAAGATATTGATGAGCAAAATACAATAATTAGTTGAAAGACTGTCTTTCATTTTATAATTTTTAACATTTTTAGCATATAAGCAAGCATTTGTAACTTTTTCATATATTAAATAAATATATAAATATTTTTTGAAGGCGATTATAATTCGATTGATTTTAATTGAAATGAGTTCGATAAAGAAATTTACCCCGAAATTGAAGCAGAATCTGCAGTCATAGTAAAACAACATAGAGATAATGCAGATAGAGCGATTTAATTTATCACACCTAGGTTAGTTTCCGCCTTTGAAAAATGCACGGTTTCGGATCGTTACGCTGTACATAATTTGGACACAGTGACTGATGCATTAGGATCTTGCTATACGTCGTCGAACGATTCAACGATGCCGTCAAAAGCATCGTGAGGAAGTAGCAAATAAGATTAAGGATGAGTTCGATACGAAAGTCCATTTCAAACAACATATTTTTATTATTTAGTGGTGTATCTGTATATGGCAGCGGAAGTAGAAAAGCATTAAAGTTTAAGAAAATTAAGCAGTTGATTGCTTTTGGAGAAATTCGCAGGCATGTGCTTTGATACTAAAACACATTGAGAAGAACCTTGGACATGAAATTAGTTTATGAGGAGCATTCAAGGTGAAATCTAAGGCTCCATAAGTCAAAATTTTTGATGAGTTTTAAAAGGCATGGGATTTAGGCCAATTTCAAACAAATAACTTCAAGAGCGGTCTTCAAGGCTCATACTTCAAATGAAATATCAAAGCGGAAATTTCCAAAGATGTCATACCTTTTTGTCGCGAGGAATTAAAAAAATATCGTCTGACTGTAAAGAGTTCTTGGAGCTAGTATTGATATTCTTAGGCGAAAATGTCTGTAATTTTAAATTTCTTCCATACATTAACTAAAAATGTTTATTTTTAGGGATCAATTAACATTTAACTCGGGTGATTTGTATAAAGCACCACATATGTGAAAATTTGGTTTAATTGCACGAGAGGAGTTACAGTAGCTAACCAAGATTTCCAACTCCAACTTCTTTCCAAAAAAAGAATTTGATAAAGAAATTTTGAACATAGTCTTGGTGAAAACAACTAATCATTTATAGTACTTAGCAGAAGAACTCACGTCTATGGCTTTCTTAGATGACACTGTTTCAGTTAAGGATAAAGAAAATATGATTGGAATGAATGTATGGATTTAGAGATGAATTATAGAAATGGACTTCAATTCTGTTTTAGACTTCATGTGATAAATAATTGTGCAGAAAGACGAATTAGGTTTATGACGCATTTAAATTCGATTCTGACAAAAAATTAAAGGGAAAGACAATAAATGCTGCAAGTAGTCTAACATAATCATAAAAATTATCCACCACATAAGAAGTCAATGAATTGAAAAATGTCAGTTTTTTGTATTGAAAACCCAACTTTGCTCGATTGGCGCAATGATATTTTAAATTCTATTCCTCCAAAACTTCGGGAATATCGTTGTTTGGTTAATGGCATATGCTTAAAAGATTCGCAATTTTGATTTTTTGAGCCACCCTACTGGTCACTGTGGTTGCTATAGAGCGCTATATAATCACCTTGAACAGCATCAAAGTTTTCTGTCACAATTGATTTTGGACGAATCAGTTGTTCACAAATATCATTAGTGAGCGAACTGTGGCCACAATTAAAATCATTGTACCAGCTTTTCACATTGGAAAAGGATAGAGTTTCATCCTTTCAAATGTGGAAGTAAATTGATCGATACACTCTTATCTTGATAATCCACGTCGAAAGTCGTAAAAAATCATCGCACAAAAAATTTGTCGCGTTAATTCCATTTTTTCGCGAAGACCTAATTTATAAATCACTGTCAATAACATAAGTAACGCTCTTTTGATAAAAAGTCTAAGGTAGGTTACGTTTAATAATGTCAAACATTCGTTTGGAAACGTCAGATGACAACTGACATCAATCAGAGTTGTCAGGGCGCAAAATATAAATAATGACCCTCGTATAAGTCAGTCGGTTCAAGAAGGTAAAGATACCTCCTCTACACATATTTAGTAATGATGGGAGACTTCTGGACATTCTACCCATACTTATATTAAAAAGTTTTTTTTAGTATTTGGAACGTAAAACACAAAATCTTGAAAATAAAAGCAAATTATAACTTCTCACATTTTTTGAAACTATATTGAAAAAAAACAGGATTAATGGTGTGTATAGTTTTATGGAGTTTATTGGAATCTTTGCGTTCGCTTTTTTTCTTTAAGAAGTTATTCTTAAAATTGATATCATGACCTATGGTGCGTTGTCTATAAAATTCATCGGCACTGCAAATCTGATCTCTGAATCGTTTTAAAGATAAAAATTGTGCAGAATATGTTTACATTTCACAGATGAACTCTTGTTTATTAGAAAATTTAGAATTAATAAAATGTGATTTGATTAAATTAGAAAAGGAAAACAGTTATACTAAAAATTTTTATTTATTTTTGAAGTGAAGATGCATTTCAGATGATAGCGTTATATTTTAATGTAGTTTATATATTATATACCATATGATGAAAAATCTAAATCTGTAAGTTAGGTGTGGTTTTTAAAACGCCCATAATATATATTAAAATAGTTTGATACGATAATCTATTTGGACTATATGGCGATTTTTCGAAATTTTGAAAGGGTATCGCTTTATAAGGTATTGATTATTGCTCCTACAAAAGATTTAATGGAATATTTGAGATGATGTTATAGGTGTGTTCAGTATTGGACTACAATTACATTCATGGAACTGCCGAAAAGTACACTGAGGAAGTAGGCAAACGATTGACTTTTGTCAATTTTTATGATCAAAAAAATTCCGTCCTGACTTTTGCGTATTATGCATACACGGCAGCTTATAATACAAGGTGGAAACTTGATTTTACTTTTAAATTTTATTTTTATTTCAATTGCAAAATTGATTATAGAAAATTGGAATATTTTATACTTTCTAGTTTTTTATTCTATTACTTTAGTTTGAAAAGCATATTGCCAATCGAATTAAAGTAATATGTCACAAATTATCAAATTATTATCAACACAAATTCAATAAGAATTTCATTATTTCAGAAATCTAATGAATTGGAGATGGTCATACAAAATCCTGTCACGACAATCATGAGTTCGTCTGCGAAAATATCAGAAGAATATCCAAGTAATAAGCCCTCCCAAAACTTGGAAGCTACTAATAAAGCTAGTGTCACAACACAACAATCACTTTCAGCATTGTATTTGTCGAATATTTCTAATCCATTAAGTACATTACACAATCTAAATATGGGATTGCGACACACTTCCGCTATCGACCACTATCGTGTACAATTGTACAACTATGCGATTAATATGGAACGGTTTCGATATCCTCAGTATAATCCATCTACTGCAATCAGAGCTGCAAATTTTTCTAGCAGTAGTAACTCAGCATCTGCAATAGTAAATGCAACGGCTTACTTACACAATGGTCAGTTTTCATTACCTATATTTCCACAGCGTTTCTTTCCGCAAGAAGAACCAAAGCCACAACATAGTTACATAGGATTAATTGCTATGGCTATACTTAGCTCTCCTGACTCAAAGCTCGTTCTATCAGACATTTATCAGTATATTCTAGATAATTATCCATACTTTCGAACGAGAGGGCCAGGCTGGCGCAATTCCATACGTCATAATCTTTCTTTAAATTACTGCTTTATTAAGTCTGGTCGAAGTGCCAATGGTAAAGGCCATTATTGGGCAATACATCCTGCCAACATAGATGATTTCCGAAGAGGCGATTTCCGTAGACGAAAAGCACAACGTAAAGTTCGAAAACATATGGGTGAGTTTCGAAAAGTAATAAAACAAAATTTTATTTTTAATTAATTAAATTATATAAAGTCAAGTACGACATTGGGTCAGTTGGATAATTAACACTGCGTCTGAACTTTAAATCAGACAGGGTAAGGCCTCTATTCTTGACATTTGCCTAAAAAATTTTAAAAAATAATTAAATACAAGAAATATTTTTAAAAAGATGATGGGTATTTCGCATCACTTAAAACTCCTGCATAGACAGACAAAAATTTAATTATTTGAAAATAAAATTGTGTTGTTTTACAACAATTTTAAAACTTTTTTAATAAGAAAATAGTTTCTTTCGTAATAATTAACTTTAAAAATCAAATTTAATATAGAAACTGTTACAATTCATTATTTTAGGTCTCTCTGTAGACGATCAAGATAATGATTCACCGAGTCCACCACCATTGGACTTAACTTCACCGCCGTCTCCACAGCCAATATCATCGGTATCATCAATACCATCAAACACTTTTCCGTACATGCAACATAATCCACCAATTTCGACTTTTCGGCAACAGCAAGCGCGGTACTATCAACAGCAGTTTCACTCAGAAGTTTCTAACAAGATATCGAACCAAGGTTCTGATTCATCAAAGCATTTAGTAAGTGCAGCTATTCATAATTGTATCAAACTATCTCAAAATACAAATTCTATTAATCAGCAAGAAGTCAATAATCTAATTGAGGAAATTGAGCTAGAACAACCAAATGACGCGAGACCTTACTTCGACGTGCTTCACAGTCAAGTCGTGCGACATCAATTCCAAAACACTGCTCCAAGCTCAGCTGATAACTTATACACCAAACCGCGAAAAAGACAGTTCGATGTTGCCTCATTGTTGGCACCGGAGACTATAACTAATATTCCGAATTCTGTTGGAATAGCTAAAACAGAGCACACATTCATCACAAAAGTAAGCGTGCAACAAAGTATTCAGCAGAATATAATGGTGGCACCGCAATTCAAGCAGCCTCTGCAATCACAAAGTATAAATGCCGAAGAGGATATCGATGTTGTTGCCAGCGATGTGGAGCACGAGAACAATATAAGTCTCCAGGATGATTTTTAACTAAATGATGCTCATATTGTCTGAGTATATATATATATTATCACACATCAAAACCAAAAATGAACTAACTAAATAATGGACTATAGGATATATGCGGACCGTCGCAATTGGCTTTAATGCAGTTTGAAACTATAGTTTCGAAAGTTTTAAATTTAAATGATAAATAATGTTTACATAGATCAACTCTTTATTTAAATTCTTCATTTGAAATCACGTTGAAGAAATTATCCAATATATCCAATAATAGCCAATATATCTTTTAATGTACAACAAGGCAGATTTTTTGCAGAATCGCCTTACCAAACTTATTAGATGCCGATGTAGCAAGGTTTTTAATACCGTTCCGCACTTCTTGGATTTCTATCTAGAACTTTCGTTAACAAATGTAGCATGCGGAAGTATTATTGATTCGTTATCATATAATTGAACGAAATATAGTATATTGATTGCTAGATATGGAAGGTAAATTCATTTGTCCATACCATTTAAGGCTGAGGTATTAATATTTGTGGAGGGCAGAAAGCATATTTATCAAAATGACTAAATCTGTACATATCAAAATCGAACATGTTTTGAACTGGATAAAGAATTATTTATGTTATTGTTACTTCAATGTATGAAAGTGAAATAAAAAAAATGCTTAATAATTATTGATATAAATATATAACATGTAGATTGGAAACTTAATGCAACTTTCTTTAAATATATTGAAGTTTTGACGAGAATAAACTTTCGATTGACCCTTCAACTGAATGCTCCAAATATATCTAAGATGAAAGTCAATGTTTGCTCTGATTCTGCTTTCCGGTTTATGTCTTTTAACCTGTAGACATAATCTATAGTGTGGATCTTTTGTAAATGATATTGAAAATTGGATTTTAATTGTGTTTAATTAAAATGTTTTACGGTCTTAGACAAATATGCAAAAACTTCAATATTTTCAACTAATTCATAATATTATTTCGGCCATTTCGTCATTTTTCATTCTATAAACTATAGGCACAGATAGCGAAATCATAAGCGGGCTTGGATCAGCTTGGAAAAATAAGTAAAAGTTTGTATTGGTTGAAACGCTCTCTCTCCCAACACAAAAAGATTATTCACGCATAATATTTCATTCGAAGGTTTTGTTAAATTTATTTTTATACTACTCCGTCGTATTGCTCAATAGTCAAACTTTGATTAGCACTTAAGTTTCTTGCATAAATCTAAAGAATTGAGGCTATCGAACTTTCAAACATGAATGTAAGAATAATGAACCTTTCCGTTCAAATTCGAGTGGCCGAAAACAGGAGTTTTCTGCATTTTTGCTTTGGGGTTGTTGTTCATGAATCCCGTACAAGTCTTTCTTTTTTTGCTATATTGCTTTATAGAGGATGAGTTAGTGTTAAAATCGTCAAAATTATATCCAAGTATCTCGATTGGAACTTGCAAATCAAAACAAAATCCTCCTAATAAGCATGTAATGTACACATATACTACTCTTAATACTAATTTAGGAGTCATTACATATTTTCTTCCTTGTAACAATGGTTTGAGATTACATCATTCTGCCAAAATTTTTGAAATGTGATGAACTGGGAACAGTTTCATCTAGATCCTGTATTAAATACAAAACAATATGTTAAAAAATAATATAAAAGAAATGCTAAATATTAGTTGGCTTTCATATTCCAAACATAATTTTTTAGTACATTTTCATATTTGATATTTGTGTGGAAATTTCTAATTATAAAGAAAATCCATTACTGTTCCAATCTGCATGCTACAATCTGATCCACAATCTGTATATGTGGCAGATAATATATATACAAAAAATTATCAGAGAGAGTTTTCTAATGTTGTGATGACATGTATTCCAATGCAGACATCATGAAACAGAAGACAGAAAACTACAATAGAATGATTATACCATATTCGTCATGGATATTTGATTGCACATCTTGGAAACGGAGAAACATTTTATTTCCCGCTAGAGAGCGTACAAAATATTGTGTTTGTGTCACCACACGTAATATGTATGTACATGCTTTTGCCAAAGTCAATATTATATCCGCAAGTATCAAAATATGTATGGAATGCTACATCCAACAAATTCAAATGTCCTCGCGAACCATTCATACTGATGACATACTAAAGACATTTGTATTCGTTTGAAGCATTGGGCCGAATTCTACTCATTAATGTCAAAGGTCCACCTTCTTTTACTAACATTGATTAACATTGAGAAACAACACTGTTGGATGCCTCTGTTAGCTACCCTCCGAGACAAATTTAAACATTATTTGTTTTAGAAAGGTTGCAATCTAATAAATTATTTGTGAATAACTATATATAAGAAATTTTACATTTATATATTTGTCAAAGGAAAGAAACAACTCTTACTTGCTGAGCAAAAAGTATTCATACGACATACCATAATTACGAATGCAATGTTAACCGGTAGAAGTTCATTCATTAAAATATTCAATGGACTTAGAGTAGTTCCTCAAATATTGCTGCCAAATGTTATTGAAGCAACTATTCTGTGGAGAAGTGAAAGTGAAAAGAAAGAGCCTATTCTGATACCACATTTAACTCTTAAGGACTTACTATTGACTTAAAGAGATTGCTATTTCATGTTTGTCTTGCATTCTTAATAACAATGCACAATTTCTATCTCTTCAGGTGTGCAGATTATCACTTACCCAAACGAAAAATTGATTTGTTTTTATTTAAAAAGCCAAGTCAATCAATCTTGTATATTCTCAAAGCACTTTAATACAACAAATTAAATTTCAATCTGATACTATCTTTTTTCTAATTTTGTTTTCCATACGTCACCTTCAATTTTTGGCTTTCTATATTAAAATAGAAAGATTTTTGTTAAATAGAATGCGGAATTAGACTGAGAATCGCAATAAATGTTTTATAAGTTCTCATATATTAGCATTTGTTTTCTACTCTCTATGTACCAGTCAGAGGTCCAACTATTTTCCGCTATAAAAGTAATTACATATGATGCAAATATATTCAAAAATTTACCAGATTGGATACCTACAACGCACTTTCTGGACTGTGAATAGAACGTTGAGGTGGCACAGTTCCTTTGGATACACAGTTCTGATACATAACGAAAGCGTAAATATTATTTTATCTGTACTGTATTCCTGATAGCGAAAAATGGCAAATAATGATTAACTAAGTAATTACTTATCAAATTTTTTCAATATTTTTTTCTATAATATGTAGCTTATTAATAATATTACTGCAGTTTTGCGACAAAATCAATAAAAAGACAAGTTTCATTTCTGTTATTAGTTTTCTCATAAACTTAATTATTTATTTAAAATGTTGTCAATCTAGGATCATTGAATGCAAAGAGAAGTATTATAATAGTTCCTTAAGTCAATTTAGATGATATGAACACACCAAAAATTGCTTTGTCCGGTAAATACCGGTGTTTTCGCTTACAGATCAAATACGGCTTTTCATATGGGCATCTACACAGTACACTATATACGGTAGCCTTAATGGGGAACCAAGGAGCTATTTGATCCATTACCTTGAATTATTATTGATTATGAAGCACTTATTTGAATGCATTCACTGTTATTTTCACTAACCTAAATTTGATTCATTTTCATAACTTACATTTCGAACTTTCTAGTGAGCGGACGTGTTTTTAAGCCGGTCTCGGAAAAATTTAAATTTCAGTATAAAAACAAGTAAATAACAATCACTTTTAAAATAATTACTTTTGTTATTAATACAAAAATAAAAAACAGAACATTCTCGGACAAAAAAACAATTCCTAAAAGTTAAAAGGGCATAAAATATTAATTTGAAAATAGCGCGCGCTTTTTCGATTTTTGTTGATTTTTGCACAACTTTAATATATAAAAAAAAAACTCAAATAGCTGACAGAGACAGCAAATTATTTTCTAAAGCTCAAAATAAAAAATAAAACGTGAGCAAGCATTCAAACAAAATATCAGTGCGGTTTTGTGAATATATAAACAAAACAAAAAAGTGCTGATAGAGACAGCTAGTATTTTATTACAAACGTGTTCCACAAAAGCTGTAATTGGAAGCCAGCAATTCATCACAACACAACACAACATCAAAACCAACATACTTGCTAACATTGGATTTTGGAATTTGAAGATATTTATTTTATTAATTATTATTATTTTTTTTTATTATTATTATTATTATTATTATTCTTAGTATTATTATTATTCTTTTTTTTTCTCTTTTTGTTTTTATTTATATGTTTAATTATTAGAATATAAAGTATAATATTTTACGTTTTTTCATTTTATTTTTTACATCTTCATTTTTATTTTTATTATTTTTTTTCTTTATATTAATTTAATTTAATTTTACTTATATTTATATAGTTAATTTAACTTAATATCAATTAATATTAATAGTAGTAAAATTAAATAAATCTTATAGCACACCTGCTATTTGCATATATAACAACGTATGCAAATGAGCAATCAAAATCTAGAAAGAAGACATACGATAAGCATTCCAAGTAAACGTAATGCTTATTTGGTAATAGACGCATCGAATACGTTGTCTCTGAAAACTACAGAAACTGACAAAAGTTTGTCAAACATTGCACCTTCAGCAGTTTCGCTTGCATTTTCCGACTTAGCGAGTCCAAAAAATAAAATAAAGGTCCAAATAGGCATGGAACGCTATGTAAATATGAAACGCAAACTAAGTCCTCAAAAAAGCAATTCAAAAGGTGCTAAAATAACTAAAACTATCAAAGATAGTGCAACTACAAACATTCTTTCTGGCAATAGATTTGCTGAATTAGCTGAAACTACAGAAGAAGCTAATCAGCCTATTAACAAAAATTTTAAACCGCCTCCAATCTACTTGCGTGAACGCAGCTCAAATAACCTAGTTACAATCCTTGCAAGTCTGATTGGAAATAATACTTTTCATATTGTTCCTATAACTAGGGGCAATATACACGAAACCAAAATCCAAATCGACACTGA